CACGGCCTTAGAAACCACGCCTCTCTTCTGCAAGCCGCTGCTCAAGACCTGCTCATGGCCGTGCTGAACAGGAATATAGGACACAGCACTAGACGCCATGTTTCTCTTCTGCAAGCCTCTGTTCGTGAGCTGTTCATCATGCTGCATAGGACCACAGGACACAGCACTTGAAGCTGTGCCTCTCTTCTGCAAGCTGCTGTTCAAGAGAAGCTCCGGGTGGTGCTGCACAGGATCACACTGGGCATCTGTCTGGGGAGGCGGGCTCACCTGCTGGCGGCACAGAGCACCAGTCTTGCTGTGATTCTTGCTGTCCTTCCTTACAAGCTTGTCATCCTTGTGGGACTGGTCTTTTGCTGGCGAGGCAGAGGTGGAATTGTCAGGATCACTCCCTATCTTCTTTAGGAAGAGATGGACAGTGGGAGGATCTGTGGCTATCTTGCCAATACTGGGCTGCATGAGTTTAACCTTATGGTTAGTGTCGTCCCCACAGGGTGACTGATGTTTTAAGATTAAGTAAGTTGCCATGATGCTATTAAATTTTTTTTTATATAAAGAGTCTGTAATGTCCTTGGGGTTGTAGCCCATGGCCCCCATAGCTGCCATAATACTGGGGTTGGGCTTGCTGCTGAGTGTTTCTTGGGGTCGTTTTATTTTTGAAAGCTCCTCACTGCCCTGCAGCCACTGATGTTCCATAATGTCACCTATCTTGGGCCTCTGCATAGGATCAATAGTGAACAACTGCACAATGAGGCTGGCGACATGTGCTGGGAGCTTGGGCGGAATGTAGTAATGTGGATCCTGCATCTCCTCCTTCATCTTGTCGTACGTTGTTGCTTTGAATGGGTAGTGTTTTGTCACCATAATGTACAGTACCACCCCCATGCTCCAGATATCAAGTGCCCTAGGATCATAGCTTTGGATGCTGAAAAGTTCCGGAGCACAGTATGGAAGGGTGCCACAGAACACTGTCGACTTCTGCTCAGTGTTAACCTTGATGGCCAGGCCAAAGTCACACAGTTTGATGTTCCTATTTGCATCCATCAGAATGTTTTCTGGTTTGATGTCCCTGTGCGCAACGCCATTCTTATGGCAGTAGTTAACTGCACAAACTATCTGTGTGAAGATGTGTCGGGCTTCCTCTTCATGAATGTAGCTCACCTCTATGATGCGACCAGCCAGGTCACCACCAGAAGCATATTCCATAACCATGCAGATGTGTTCAGTAGTTTCCATAACATGGAACAATTTGGTTATATTAGGGTGGTCTACTAATTTCATGATCTCTAGCTCATTTGAAATCAGAGTAGCATTCTTTTTATCCTTTTCCAGGGTCTTCAGAGCAACTTGCACCTCTGTGTGGAGGTGGACAGCCAGTTTCACCTGAGCAAAGTTGCCTGTGCCGAGGGTCTTGAGGATCCTATAAGGACCGATGTGGACCTCCTGTTCAGAGGAGCTGGCCTTGCGATCCTGCTGCATTGTCACTTCCTCCTGTTATTTATTGTCCATCCCAGTACCAACTCACAATACTAGATTTGAAAAATCAAAAGCAGATCGGTATTAGTTACATTTTTGTTGTTATGTCAAAATACTATGGCTGAAAGCAGCATACAGTAGAGTTTATTTTGGCTTCCAGAGGGAGGAGAGTCCATCAATGGCAGGTGAGGTATGGTAACAGGTGGCAGGAGCAAGAAGCTAAGAGATCATATCTTTTTTTTTGTTTTGTTTTGTTTTTTTTTTGTTTTTTCAAGACAGGGTTTCTCTGTGTAGTTCTGGCTGTCCTGGAACTCACTTGGTAGACCAGGCTGGCCTCGAACTAAGAGATCATATCTTAATCACATGGCAGAGTATACTGGAAGTGGGGCGAGGCTATAAATGCTCAAAGTCCACCCTAAGGGATATACTCAGGCAAGGCTAACCTCCTAAAGGTTCAATAACCTCCTCAAGCAATGTCATGAAAGGTGGACCAACTGTTCAAACATGTGTGCCTATGGAGGACACTTTTTTTTTTTATTCATTCTACTGCAGGGTCTAAGAAGGAAGTTCATGTCAGTAAATTCCTACATAAAACAATCAGAGATCTAAACAATCTGATTTAAAATAACCTATGAAACTGAACATCAAGTTCTCAAAACAAGTGGTTAATAAATATATTTAAGGTGTCAAAGCAACATGGAAATGCAGGTTTAAAGCAACTTTGAAATTTCTTCTCACTCCAACCAGAATGAGTATTATCAAGAAAACGAATTAGTATGGATGTTGGTGAGAACGTAGGGGAAGAGGGACCTTTATTCACTGTGGATGGGAGTATGAACTGGTGCTGCCACTATAGAAATCAGTGTGGGCATTCCTCAAAAGTTAAGTATAAAACAGCCATATACATATAACTCAGAAACACCACTCCTGAGCCTACACCGAAAGGACTCCATACCCTGCAATAAAAATATATGTACCTCCATGTTCATTTTATAATAGGGAGAAAATGGAACACACCTAAATGTCCACCCATCAATGGATGAATGAATAATAAAAATGTTCATATACACAATGGAATTTTATTTATTGGCAAAGAAACTAAAGAAATCATAGCATTTACAAGTAAGCAAGTGTGTCTGTAAAATATTATACTGAGATAACCTTAGCCTGGAAAGACAGATGCCACAAGAACTCTCTTACATACGAATTGTTAAAGTTATGTGTTTAATATTGAATGCTGTTGATGGTCAGAAAGAAAGAGAGAGACTATTAGGTGGTGAGAGGTGGGAAAGAGGCCTTAAGGGAAAGGAGAGAGTAAAGCATATTGTAAAGAAAGGCAGAAAGGGGATACTAAGGAGGAAAGTCTGAGGAGGGCTGGGAGGATGGGGAAAGGAGGCATGAGCGCAGCAGACAAAATAAGAATAAATGAAAAAGATACATGGGATCAATATGATCTTATAAGTTCATTAAAAACTATAATTTAAAAGGAAATTTGTATGCTGGTGTCTTCAATAAATGAAGCCCCTTTTGATAGCTATAGGTTATTAAGTAAATAATCCAGATATTGTCAGCCAGGGAAACCCAAAAAAATGGCCACTGCTCCTGGTTGCTCACTAACATGTGATGGTAAGATCCTATTACTGGAGACACCACTTACTTTGGTCACAGGACATAGAGAAATCAAGCTGAAGATGGGCTGGAAGTTTTCTCTCTACTGTCTCATCTTCACAGTGCCTAAGGATGCTATCTTCACGGTGTCAAAAGCTGCTGCAGAGAATACTGGTCATCAAGAGTCGGACCCACCAGTGACTCCTAGGAGCTACAATAATGACTTGCCAAGCAAGATACGCCCTCTAGTGGAATTGTGGATAAGCTGTTCTGTAAATCTGGTCCAGAACCCTTAGTTGAGGAGGTCATAGGTGCCAGGGTGGAACCTACTACTATTGTTTTGATTTCCTGTTATCAAATGGCCTACTGAATATTCATGTTGATAGCCATAGATTGATCCTGCAGCCAGCCATCAGAGATGCTTCTTATGCTGTGGGCAGTGATTGGTACAGACCTTGCCAAAGTGACTAGAATCCATGGTGGCAGAATGCTCAGCCCTAAGTGAGATAATGATATCACCCAGTCCAAGACTCCACGAATGTGCTGGAAGAGGGGATGATGGGAAGAATGTGAGAGCCAGAGGATAGGGAGATATGTGGCAAAAAGATGTTTTCTGCACATAGCATGGCTTTTTACATGCAAGAACTCATTTCAGCTGTGGTATCCTCACGGGACCGGACTCCTCCACTCTTCATTATTGGTATGGGAGGGGTCTACGAGACCCCATGGCCTCTTAAGAGACTACTGGAAGGTACCATTGTTTGAGAGGGGATCATTTCCTTCAGTGGTGTAGTCACTGTTTATATGATCTTGCTCAGAGGAACACTCCTCCATTGCTGGTGGGAGTGCAAACTTCTATGGAAATCAGTATGTCCGTTTCTCAGAAAGTTGGGAATAGGCCCAACTATATCCAAAAGACACACCATTCTATCACAAGGAACTTGCTCAAGCATGTTCATAGCAGCTTTATTCATAAGAGCCAGAAACTGGACACAATCTAGACGTCCTTCAACTGAAAAGTGGATAAAGAGAATGTAGTACATCTACACAATGGAAGATTACTCAGCTGTTAAAATAATTACATCATGAAACTTGCAGTCAAGTGGATAGAACTATAAAAGAAATCATCCTTAGTGAGGTAACCCAGACCCAAATACACAAACATGATATGTAAGTGAATATTAGCGTAAAGAAAAAATAACCATGATACAAAATCAACAGACCTTGAAAGGCTAAGTAACAAGGCGGGCTCTAGGGAGGACTCACGGACCTCTTTGGGAAGGAGAAACAGAATACATTTTGCAAGTGGACTATGGTAGATGGAGATGGGAACAGGAGGGATCAGTTGAGGGATGGACGGAGGGAGAGAGTACAGGGAGAGGCAACTGCAATTGAGGGCATTTCAGAGGCAATATGAAAACCTAGTGCAGTGGAAACTTACTGGACTCTATGAGGTTGACCCTAGTGAAGATCCTAGTAATGGAGGATATGAAGCCTGAACTGCCCATCTACTATAACCAGGCAAGGCTTCCAGTGGTGGGACTGGGACACCAAACAAGCCACAATGGTGGCTCAGAGCTTGTGGGAGTGGCCCAATGACTGGTCTAACTTGAAAACCACACCATGAGAATCAGCCCATGGCCCACACTGCCTGGGTGGGCAGGAACTGAAAACTGGATCACCCTCAGAGACCTAGGGTAGAACCAAACACTACTGGCCAAAAGAAGTCAAAAAAGTGATTCCTAAATGATATTCTGCTATACTCATAGACCAGTGCTTAGCCCAATAATCATCAGAGAGGCTGCTTCCAGCAGCTCATGGGAGATGCACATACCCACAGTGTGATGGTTTGTATATGCTTGGCCTAGGGAGTGGCACTATTAGAAGGTGTGGCCCGGTTGGAGTAGGTGTGTCACTGTGGGTGTGGGGTTTAACAATCTCATCCTAGCTGCCTGTAAGTCAGTATTCTGCTAGCAGCCTTCAGATGAAGATATAGAACTCTCAGCTCCTCCTGCACCATGCCTCCCTGGATGCTGCCATGCTGCTACCTTGATGATAATGGACTGAAACTCTGAACCTGTAAGTCAGCCTCAATTAAATGTTCTTTTTAAGGGTTGCTTTGGTCATAGTGTCTGCTCACAGCAGTAAAACCCTAACTAAGACACACAACCAAACATTAGGTAGAGTTCCAGGAACCCCAAGAAAGAGGGAGATGGAAGACTGCAGGAGCCAAAGGGGTTGAATACACCAAGAAAACATGACCCACAGAATCAACTAAGCAGGGCTCATAGGAGATCACAGAGACAGAAGCAATAACCATAGAGCCGGCATGGGTATGTGCTATATGGGTCTTCTGCATATATTTTATGGTTAATTAGCTTGGGGGTTTGTGGGACTAGAGGTGTCTCTGACTCTTTTGCTGCTCTTGGGACCATTTTTCTCCTACTGGGTTTCCTCATCTGGCCTTGACATGAATGCTTGTGCCTAGTCTTACTGCATCTTATTATGCTGTATTCAACTGATATCCCTAGGAGGCCTCTCTTTCTGAAGGGAAACACAGGAGCAGCAGATCTGGGGGAGAGGAGAGGCAGGGGAGGACTGGGAGGAGGAGAGGCTGTGGTCATGATGTATTGTATGAGAAATAGATGAACAGGAAAACTAAGATGCCCTTGCTCTAGCAAATAACCGCTCACCCACACTAGAGCAATGCATTCTAATGAAACTTAGTGGGCCACACATAAAAAGAAGGCAGGTAAGTAGGAGATCTTATTGAGAAGGGGTCAAGCAGTAGAGAGATAAGCATGAGAATGAGAGAAGGGGATGGGTGGGAAATGACTAAAAATCATCCTGTAAATATCAAACAATATTCAGAACTATACCAAACAACCTAATGGTGCACTTCATAGGAAATGGAACAAACCGGCCCCCAAGCAGTGTGCAGCAAAGCACAAAAAAAGATTAAAGTTGAAATGAACAAAAGGTTATCAGAAAGAACCAAAAAGAAAAAAAAGAACAAAGCTATTTGAAAAGATATATAAAAGTGACGAACATTTACCCAAATTAAACAAGAAAGAGCCACAAATTAATAAGATTAGAGAAAAGAAAGAAGATGGTATTGTGTCAGGTACCATCACAATCTGTGGACTGTTAGGAACTACTTTGAAAACTTTAGCAAACTGGAAAATCTGGAAGAAATGGGTACACATCTAGACACACATGACCTATCGAAATCAAGACAATAACTTTTAAAACATATTAGTAGATAAATAAAGAGGTAAAATGATAATTTTAAAAAATCCCTAAACAGAAGTAAGTCCAGGGCCACAAAGAAATGGGTTTGCTCACACTAGTCCTTAAAAAGGAAAAGAACACTTCCAAACTGATTCTACAAAGCCAGATTATCCTAGTACCAAAACCAAATTAAAGATGCCACAAACAAACAAACAAAAAACTAAGCCAAATCCCTTGATGAACACAGATGTGAAAATCTTAAATGAGAATGCTCAGTATTTGACACCAAGTTCAGCAACACATGAGAAAGGCCACACCTCATGATGAAATGAGCTCATCCACGACTCATCAGTTCAGGGATGGTTCCATGTCTCAGACTGATAAATAATATAGCATGTAAACAGAATCCAGTCTAAAATCACGTGCTCAGCCATAAAGAAGTGGTGACATTCTCAGGGGCTGGAGGTGATTGTGTCACCTGTGACTAGCCAGTATTATAGTTGTTTTCTATCCCATGTAAAGTCTAGGGTGCTGAGAGTGAGGTGGGGATAGAAGAAAGGGGAGGGATGGGGGAGAGGAAGAGAGAGACAGGGCGATAAGAGACGGGGGGAGAGAGGGGGAAGTACGGGAAGAGGGAGGGAGGGGAGAAGGAGGGAAAGAGAGAGAGATGCCCAGGTGCCTGAACCATCACAGACTGCCAATTTAAAACCCTGGCCTTAACAGCCCTTAACATCTCTACTAGCTAGCCAGTAGGAACAGAGCGGCCAGGAGCATACAACCCAATCTGAAGTGGCTTTGACAAACCGCCAGAGTGAAGGATTCACAACTCTGTAATGGCAAATGGCAACAGGCAAGACTATACCTGGGTGTTGGATGAGAAGAACAGGAAGCACCTCTCCTGGATTTGTGGTTTTGCATGCTGCCTCTGCCACTAGTGTCCTCGTACTAAAAGATGCCTTCAATATAACAAGATGGGCACCAACTGCCTCAGCCACCCACCTCGAACTTCCAACTGTGAGTCCTGATCCATGACCTAATTGGTCACATGCACAGAATCTAGCCAATCAGGATGGCCAAGCAGGGTGAGCTCTCCTGATTGGTCGGGTTGAAATCATGTGACTTAGACCCAGCATGGTGGGGGGAGCTATAGTCCGTAAAGGCAGGGAAGGGTAAGGGACAGAACTTTTGCATTCGCTGTGACTTGTTTCCCGGGATGTGCCTGTTCATGCCTACCTCCCTTATCCTAATGGCTTCTGTCCACAGAACTCAATGGGAGCACTTCTTCCATCCACAGTCCCTATTCCACTTGTAAAAATCCTGGACTGGCTTTCTGAAGGTCAGAGTCAGGGTTTGCCTCCAGCTCCTAGCTCTCTTCCTTGAGGAACATGACCATCAACAAACTGTTCACTTGCTAGGTGGGTCCTGCTGGTTCCAGGGATCAGCAGGACTGAAGATGTAGCTGTCTTCACGGAGCTAGTGGTCTACAAGGAAAAGTAGACCATCAAAGAGCCGGAGTGTGCACTCTCCTTTCCCCATAGCCCCTTTCTCTCCCTTAATGTCTGTGCCCAATCTATTTAAAAACCTTTTCTTAGTGAATTCTAAATTTACATCATAAAAAGTCAGGGCTTACAGCACATCCTTACAGAGTTCAACATCCTAAAATTTGAAGAATTTTCCTCATTATGACTCTTACTCCATTCTCTACACTAAGTATGTAATGGACAGAATCACTCTACAACAGTTTTATTTCTTAGACCTGAAAACTTTCCCCCAGACATCCCGTATATTATTTCTCCTTTGCTCTACTTGAAAATACTTTCATCCACTTTTTGAATCAAGTCTTCAATTTCTTGTTACACTTTATAGATTTCCTCGGTTTTGCTTCTGATCTCCAGTCATGATTTTATTCCTTTATCTTTTATTAAATATTCTTGTTTAAATATTCATTCTAAAGTATCCATTCTTGCTTAATGGGTGCATCATTTTCTCTCATCTCTCTGAGGACTTTAAAGAGGTTATGCAGCGGGATCCTATCAAAATACGTACAAAGCTGTGTGGTCAGCAGTCATTGTTTCCAAACATCTGCAAAAAACACCAACTCCAATGTCAGAAGTTTATTAATTACTAGATGCATAGCTGAAGTTAACTGAAAGGTGATCTTGTTATATTTTTAATGACTCACAGTTCTTAAAACTGTGTTGTTAGACACTGGGGGAAACTGCAGTCAGGATGTCTTATATGAAAGAATAATAAATGAATGGATGAATAAACTCATTGATGTAAAAGTATTCTAGATTTAGTTATTCTATGCATGTACATCTGCTGGAGGTCAAAAGAGGTCACCAGATCCCCTGCCCTGGAGCTGTGAACAGTGGAGATCTGCCTTGTAGATGATGGCAATGAAATACAGGTCCTCTGCAAGAACAAGTGCTCAGGGACGGCACCACCACAGTGGACTGAGCCATCGCCCATTGACCATGAGTTGAGAAAATGCTTTACAGATTAATCTCATGGAAGTATTTCCACAACTGAGGCTCCTTCCTCTCTGATGACTCTAGCTTGTATCAAGTTGAAGCAAAACTAGACAGTACCAGGACCTTCCAAGTTTTACAGATGTCACTGTAAACACAGGGTTTCTTTCTGGTCTTATGAGTACAGATGATTTTATGATGGAATAAAGCCTCCCCCAAGAGGACTGGATACAGTTCCAGGAATGTATCTTTTTCATTTCTATTCTGAAGTGCTATACTGGGTTTGTAAAACATGCTCCATTGAAGAAAATCCACACCAATCAACTGCTTTTATCAGTTCAAGAACTTGTAGACTTAGCAAAAGACACAGATTTAAACCTTGAGATTCACTTTTTTAAAATGTTGAATGAAATTTAGCTAAAACAGTGGTTTTCAACCTTCCTGATGCTGTGACCCCAACCATAAAGTTGCTGAAATGTTGCTACTCTTATGAATCATAATGTAAATATTTTATATGTAGGATATCTAATATGTGACCTCTGTGGTGGTCTCAACCCATGGGTCAAGAGTCTCTGGATTACAGATTAAGGTAAAAAATTATTCTCAGCATTGGCAATTATGAAATCAAAGTATCAACTGACTCTGGAAAACATTGAAGAGGCTCCACATTAACCATTCAAGCCAAGGTTTAATGTCTTATACAAAAATGAATAAACATTCCCATCTCAATAGTGTGAAGACTCGAGGATATGCCTTTTGTCTTCCCAAGGAGCCTTCCCACCCCAGGAACATCCAGGTTAGACCTCTCCCAATTCCCTGCCTTCCATGTCCCCTTGGGGCATACCCAGCAACAGTAAACTTCATCTGCTCCCCTGAGCTCCATTTTCCAGAACACAACTCTTGCTGAATCCTTCATGGCCAGCCATCACTAAGGACAACCAGATGGCTAAAGGCCAACATAAGAAAACAATCAACAAGAGCCAAGGCAATATGGCACCAGCAGAGCCCAGCTACCCTACTACAGCAAGTCCAGAAATCCTAACACAGTCAGAAGATGGCCTTAATTCCAATCTTACAAGGATGACAGAGGCCTTTAAAGAGGAAATTAATCAAATCCCTTAAAGAAATACTGGAAAATACAATCAAACAGGTGAAAAAAATGAAATAAAACTGTTCAAGATATGAAAACAGAAATAGAAACAATAAAGAAAACACAAACTGAGGAAATTAAGCAGGTAGAAAACCTAAGGAATAGAACAGAAACTACAGACACAAGCATCAACAGAATACCAGAGACGGAAGAGACTCTCAGGTGTGCAAGATACAGCAGAAGAAATTGATACTTTGATCAAGGAAAATGTTCAATCTAAAAAGTTACTGACAAAACACATCCAAAAAATCTGGGATATTACGAAAGGACCAAATCCAAGAATAATGGGTGTCAAGGCTGGTCTTGTATTAAATTTGGATGCAGAGTTGGCAGGGACTTTGAAAGAACAATTCTTAACTTCATATGGAAAAAATCTAAGATAGTTAAAACAATTCTGTACAATAAAAGAACTTCTAGAGACCTCACCATCCCTGATTTCAAGCTGTGCTATGGAACAATAGTAATAAATCCACATAGTATT